GCCAGGCTTCTGCCTTCCTTCCCTGCAGAGTGAAGGGGGGGGGGATGATGGGACAGACAGATGGACAGACGGCGTGGCCTCCCCCTCCTTCCCCCTCCCCCTCCCCCTTGCGCAGCCGTGCGTTTCTGGCCCCAGGCGCTGAGGTGGGAATCCAGAGTTTTGTTTCTTACAGAGCTGACAGACGTTGCTGCAGCTTTAACATATGCAGACTAATATGTTTAAATCAAATATCCAGAGGCATCTTGGCTGGAACTGCAGAGTTTATATTTAAATAGCAGAGCTCCCTATTACTCTCAAACGTAAACACACACACATACACAGTTATTTTAATATGCAGCTGCATTTCCACTTGGATTTATTCAGGTTAACAGAAAACCACTTCGACCTTTTTAGCTGAATCTCACTTGGCTCAACAAAGCCAAGCCATGAACTCCAGGACGAAAGGCCTCCAAAGGGCCTGGCCGGGAAGAGGGGCGGCAGGACCAAGCCCCACATCTGCCTCCCTCAGGGGTCAAGGTGCCTTCCGAAAGAGAGGTAATCTCTCACCCAACTCCTTGGCTCCTGCATCACACATACACACACACACACACTTTTGGGGGAGGGGAGACCTGGGGGGCTCTGGGGGCCTGGGAGACCCTCAGGAAAAGGAGGGGGCTGTACATGGAAACTGTGACCCTCATCCAGGCTTCATGGTGTTTGCGTCCAAGAGGCTCCCAGGGTTTCCTGAAGATTTAGGCTGGGCTGGCTGAGAACTGAGAACTGAGAATTGAGAACTGAGAACTGGTGGGGGCTCTGTGCCCTGGACAGTCCTGGCACCAGAGTGACCGGGATGATTTTTTGGGCTGACTGTTTCTGCAACATGCCTCTGCAACCAAGCTTCTTATCTCTCCCCTCCCCTTCCCCCATAGACTTAAATTACCTCACAGCTTTAGAAGAAATCTCTTGCCAAGAGAACCCCAGACTGAAAATATTTAGCAGCAAATGTTTTGTTGGTCTGAATATCCTAGTGGCTTAAAAGGTTAGCTCCTGGGGTTTGGCAACAACAAAACCACTTTAGCAAGGAAATTGCAAAATATTTTGGGAGAGAGAAAGGGGAAAAAACAAAACCAAAGTTGGAGCAGATGCTAAAACATCCCCCCCCCAGCTCTCACCCAGAGGTGGCTGCCAAACACCAAGTACTGAGAGAGGAAGATCATGCTGCTCCCCCTGCAATTGCCCCCCAATCCCCAGTCCAGAGGCCTCAGAGGAAGAGGCAATGGGAGATGAAGGGGGCAAATTCCTGGGTCCCTGGAAGATGCTCTCCCCAAACGGTCCTGTAGCTTCCAAGCCCCTGGTGCCCACTGCGCAAGGTCACTTGTCTAAGGTCACTCAGTGGGTTTTATAGCCAAGCAGGAATTGAACCCTGGTTTCCAGAGTTGTTGTCCGATGCTCAAACCAAACCACAATGAGCTCAGACTCCCAATTTTGCCCTGGCTGCAGCTGCAGACTGTGCTCCTTCTCCTGCCTGACAGGCAGCCCCAAAAAAGCTCCCATGAATCTGAAAGTCTCTGGAATTTCTGGTTGCCTCCTCCTCTCAAAAAAAGGACAAGTGTAGCCTCCTCTGTCCTCTGCAGATGATTTCCCTGGCTTTCTCACCACAAAGTGTCCTTTCTTGCAGCAGCTCTGGTCCCCAAAAGCCTTAAGCTACAAGGGCAGCCAGCACCAGAGGTTTTGATCATGTCTGGCAGGAGGAAATATTCAGATGGTGAGATGCTCAGAAGCTGCATCTATTGACTTTACACACCTGAAGCTACAGAACAGTAATGCTGCAACATCCTGATAAAAGCAAGGTAAGAGGCAGCATGGCATAGTGGTTTGAGTGTTGGACTACAGCTTTGGAGACCAGAGTTCGATTCCTTCTTGGCCATGAAACCTACTGAGTGACCTTGCGCAAATCACAGTCTCTCAGCCTCAGGGGAAGGTAATGGCAAACTTCTTCTGAACAAATCTTGCCAAGAAAAACCCATGATAGGTTCACTTTAGGGTCACCATAAATCAGAAATGACTTGAAGGAACACAGCAACAACAACGACGTCTGACATTAGAGCCAGCGTGGGGTGCAGTGGTTTGAGTGTAGGACTAGGACTCCTTAGGAGACCAGGGTTCAAATCTCTGCTCAGTCATGGAAACCCATTGAGTGACCTTGGACAAGTCACACTCTCTTAGCCTCAGAAAGGCCATGGTAGCAAACTCCTGTGAAGATTCCATGGTTGATATGTTTCTTTAGGGAGGCCATAAGTCGAAAATGACTTGAAGGCACACAACAGCAGCAAAGCTGACATTATATTCTTTAAAATATTCAAAATACCAATGGCTGCTGCCACACTGCAGAATTAATGCAGTTTGACACCGCTTTAAATTCCATGGCTCCATTCTACAGAATCCTGGGATTTGTAGTTTATTGTGGCACCAGAGCTCTCTGAAGGAAAGATTTAAAATCTCACACAATTACAAATCCCAGAATCCCACAACTCTGAGTCATGGCAGTCAAAGTGGTGTCAAACTGCACTGCACTGTGGCAGCATCCTTAGACTCTTGCAAATGGAAATCTAGCTGAGAAGAAATAATTTTCATTACTGAAACAATGTATCTCTCCAGGAAGAACCTAATTCTGCCAGGAGTAATTAACAATAGGAAGAACACCAGCCAACACCCAATGCTATTAATGCTGACATCGAAATGAATGCAACCAGGAACCTGCCAACGGCTGTTGGCAATCAGCAAATCGGAAGCGGCCCTTTGGAGACAAAGTGGGGAAAGCATTTTGAACATGGATGGGGAAGGAGATGCGCCGGCCCAGGTCACACGGCGCTGTGCGCTTCACGCGCCCACAAAGACAAAGAGGAAGAAGGAAGCAGTTGCAGACTCACCCTCGGCCCCTTCGCTGGCTTTGCTCCTCTTGTCTCTTCGGACGCTGTGACTCTCTTCTTGGGAAGGAGGCGAATCCTTCGGGGAGAGGAAGCTCAGCAAGGCTACCTGGGAAAGGATCACAGAGAGAAGCTGGCCAGCAGGAAGAGGCAACAGGACCACGAGAAGCCACTGGCCCAACCACGTGTGTGTGTGTGTGTGTGTGTGTGTGTGTGTGAGACATGCACCACAGCTGCCCACCCGCCTCTCCCTTCTAGGGCATCCCCACCGAATCAAGGGCTGAGTGTAAGCTGACACCTGTGCAAATCCCACCGACTTAGTGGATCACCTCCAGTTAGCAGCAGCAACTGGATTTAGGCCAAACAACAGAAATATGGAAGCAAAAAACAGTTGCCATCTGTATGGGTGTAAAGGATTAGCTAACCATTTCTTTAGTGACAGAGAGCCGGAGTGAGGGGTTGGTTTGGGTGGTAAGCTGTGAACCTGGGAGATCTGAGTTTTGGTCCCCAAAGGAACCATGAAACTTCCTGAGTGACCTTGTGGCAATCACTGTCTTTCAGCCTGGCCTCCATCACAAGATGGTTGTGAGGATAAAATTGGGGAAGAGGAAAATTACACATGCCGCTCTGGAGAAAAAGTGAGATGGAAGTGCAAGAGAGAGAGAGAGAATCAGACAGACAGTCCCTTAAACATATAGTATGTCTCAGTCAAAACCTGGCAGACTAAGAAGTATGAACTGGCCAGTGGCCAGACCAGCTCCCCAGCCCAGGGCTCATGTGTCGGCCTGCCACGGACCCCTTCTGAGCCACCACCGTCCTCTGGAGAGCAAAGGACTGGGAGGAATGCTCCACTCAGAAAGTGCGCAGCCCCGGCTTAACTGATGTAGCAGAGAACGGCCATTCTTTGGCTGACAGGTTTATTTGGGAGTGCTTGTATTACAACTTGGTGCATCGTGGTCTATAAACTCATGACACAGGTGCTGGAGTGAGTGTAAGGTTTCAAACAGCGCGGGATATCTCAGCACCGAGGAATGTGCGATCCCCGAGGGAGGTCACTCCACCCCAGAGTTCACGTCTCCTCCGCCTCCACCTGCAGCTGAGAGCGGCACACCCAAACAGCATGGCTGGGGAGCAGCATCCAGAGACCCACGTCTGTCTCTCCCTCAACAACCCAGGGGCCCACGGCAAGGCCAGTTTCGGACTCCCGCCAGGCCCAGAAGACAAGGCAGGGAGGCCTCAGGGTCAGTGGGTCAGTGGTCAAGAGGGGCTTCCTGGGCTGGATGGATGCTTTCTGCATGTCTCTCTCAAGAGATGCTGCTGTGAGGGGACTTGGTGATGCCCTGCAAGCTGAGGGCCAGGGAAGAAGGCCAGTGGCTGGCCTGTGGCAGCTCTCCTGGGACTCCGCTGTGTATGGCCAGCTTGGGCAACAGAGACTTGGCTGGAGAAACAAACCAGAAGGCCTGAGGGGTCAGGGGTCCCCCTCTCTGTCCATCCCTCCCTGGTACCAAACATTGGTGACCAAGTGAGAGAGGGGTACCGCTACCCCCCAACAAAAGTTTCTGGGGCAAATAGGTGCTGAAGAGTAGAGAGAAAGGAAGGCAGACCGGGAACTTGGGGCCCTAGAGGTTATTTCCTGGCAAGTGGAGCTGGCTCTCATCTTCCCATTTGTGCCAGGAGGGGCCATGGGGAAGAAGGACCCACCAGGAGCCCTTGGCTCCCTTCCGAAGGACCTGGCATATACCAGCCATGCAAGCCAGCCATCCTCGTGTTGGACAAGATGTTGCACAGCAACCCGGGACGGCCTGGATTCGTTCCCATTTCAGAGCAGCCAGATGTCTTCCTCTCTGCTGCCCAGCTGGGCCACAGCTGGGCCACAGCTGTCCTTGTTAAAGGGGAATTTTACGTAACAAGCAATGGGGAGTGGGGAGCAATTTCCAGTAACACTTGACTAGTGATAAAAATGAAAAGCATTAGAGATTGCTACTCCATGATGGTCGAAACTTGTTGCCATCGTTTTGGGAAACAAGTTCTTTCTGAAATCCCCGTGCTTCAGACAAGGCAGACTGAATCTGTCTAGCAGTAGCCATCCCAAGCCGGAGATGATGGATGATGTCTCTGCATATTCAATGCTGTGCCAGGTCCCCCTTCTTGCAAACTGGGAGCAATTGGGGAGGGGAGAAATGAACGGATTGGGAGGGAGGGAGGGAAGGAGGGAGGGAGGGAAGGAGGGAGGGGGGAGCTGCCCACAAAGATGGCTTCATCCCCCTTGCCTCCCCCCCTGAACCTGCTCCAGTTCACACGGACATGGAAGCCAGAAACATGATATTAATATGAACCTGCCATTATTGTGAGTCAAGTGTGCGTTCTGCTTCTAAGGAGGCTGAAGGGGTATTTGGAAATCTAAGGAACGTCTTAGATAAACATTTTAAAGGATTACAGGCCTGAAGAATAGAAAATGTTTTATATATGAAAAAGCCAAGTCATAATAAAGAAACTTTGCAGCCAAGGCACAAGGTGCTGTGGTCGGAATGAGCTCCGCCACAGCACTGAATGTTTCGCTCAAGAGGAGGCACGCAGATACCCAATACGTGAGCACACATGCCCACAGGCTCACCTCTCGATGAGGCAGTGGCCAGAGAATGACCCGTCTGCTCCGGCTCCTGCATCGGGCCAAGAAGGGCCCAGCCCCACACACAGAGGCAGGTGCACCGTGGCCGCACCTGCTCCCCACATAAGAAGCCTCTGAGGACCATTGCTCCTGCTTGGCCCTGCTAGTGCCCTCTTTCTTCACACAGCATTATGGGCATAACTCCCCCTGAGCTCCAAGCTGTCCCCATAAGGACAAGGGAAAGACAGTCTTGTTTCAAAAGTGCACCAGGGCTGCAGGTGCCAAATTTCTAAGACCTACTATTAGATGCGCTCTGGATCTGCCTCTCCCAACCTGGTGCCTTCTAGGCCAGTTTGGGCAACACCCAGTTGGCCCCATAAGTCTTTCAACCAGCTTTTATCAGAATTTATTTTCATTTCTGTAAGTGTCTTTGAGTCCCAGTTTAAGGAAAAGGTTTGATCTTAATGAATTAACAATAACAATCATATGGTATTTGGGTCTGAGTCAGGGTGGGTTTGTGGTTAGATTGTTGGACTAGGATTCCCTGAAACCAGGGTTTGAATCCCAATCTTTCAGACTCAAAGGCAGGCAATGGTGTCCAACCAATAACAAATCTGGCCATGGAAACCATAGGAAAGGATAGCCACAAACTGGAGAGAGACGACCTGGAGGCACATGACAGGAGCACAGCGCCCAGAGGCATCCTGTGAAATCAGCCGTCTGTCCGGCCGTCCTCCTCAGCAGCCCCAGAGCTCCATCGAAGGCCGACAGCTGCACCCTTTGAACTATGAAAGCATGTTGTGCTTTTCAGCAGTTGGTGGAGGACTGCGGAGAAGCTGTTCCTGGCTTTGCACAGACACGATACCCAGCGGCATGTCACAACAACGGCTGTTTCTCTGACACAACTTCAAGCACCTTGTTGTTAAACACCTGAGTGTTGGTTGACACATTCCACCCGGCATTACTCACAGCGTTGTGCAACGGGGCCAAACACAGCCTTCACAGTCCCTGGAAGATCACTTTCATGTGCTCCTGATGATCAGGCATTTGTGATAGGAAAGAAAACATAAGGAACCTGCGCTTGCACATGAAAGGCAGTTGGAGGGGAGGAGGGTTTCCTGCCCTCCCATGTGCATTGTGGGCATTGACATTGTAGCCCCTAGTCTTGTGGTCAGGAATGCTTAGGATGCACCCACTT